ACAAATCCATTGAAAGTAACTCAAAAAGTCCCCATTTGCTTCATTATGATGGTTGGATGGGAGAGTAGATAAAATGCTTATCAATGACTTCATCACTGACTGTTGGATTCTCCTTCACTGTGTTCATATAATGAGAAGTGATGAAAACCCTAGTGGAAAGAAATTTACCACATGCAATCACTTCTCTGGGAAGATTGAATAAAAAATATCTGGGCTTAATCCAGTAGCTTATTTTTTCATCTGTACAAACACTCCTTTTTTCAAATGCATACTTACATAAATATAACTTTTTAAATGTTCATGCTCATCATAAGAACAAAGGACTGACATTTGACTGGTTCTCATAAGAACCTTTTTGTCTCGCTATAGAATATACTAAAGATGGATGGCCCACCAAGGGTTCAGGTTAATTTCTGGTAAATGCCAGGTATAATAATGCATACTATTTGCCATATTTTAACTCATTTGATGTTAAAAGGAGGAGGAGCTTAAATTCATTACTTTGCTAGCCACAGAATCATGGACTAAATAGAATTGACAGGAGCACCAATGAGTTCTGAGCTGGCAGATGGTTGCTTGGGCACAACTGAGCCTAGGTTAGAACCGCCATGGCTGGAGATGCATGAGACAGAGAACTGGAGAGCTGTAACCAGCTACTTTACATTGCAGCTGTCCCATTCCCGCATCAGACCAATGGTCCATCCAGCCCAGTGTCCTGTCCTCCATCATTGGCCAATGCCAGGTGCTTCAGAGGGAATGAACAGTACAGGTAATCATGAATGATCCATCCCCTGTCACATATTCCCAGCTTCTGGCAAACAGAGGCTAGGGAAACCACCCCTGCCCATCCTGACTAATAACCATTGATGAACCTATCCTCCAAGAATTTATCTAGTTCTTTTTTGAATCCTGTTATAGTCATCCCTTCTTGTTCCGATGAGATGGCCCAGCATACACAATAGTATGACATCATACTTAACTCAGAACTTCATGGCGCTAGGGATAGACATTTAGGGAGTTAAAAGAGGAAAAAATTATATGCATTTTCCCCTTAGATAATGTGCTCTTGTCTCTCATAAACTAGCTGTTGTGGGAATTCAGCTCCTATCGGTAAATGCCTAGGTATTTGTGCAGTGTTTTAATACTTAGACCTAAACTACCTTTTAGTTCTAAACTACTCAATTCAGTAGAACCTCAGAGTTATGAACTGACCAATCAACCACACACCTCATTTGGAACCCAAAGTACACAATCAGGCAGCAGCAGAGACCAAAAAATAAAGCAAATACATGAAGTACAGTACTCTGTTAAACGTAAACTACTAAAAATAAAGGGAAAGTTTAAAAACAAGATTTGACAAGGTAAGGAAACTGTTTCTGTGCTTTTTCATTTAAATTCAGATGGTTGAAAGCAGCATTTTTCTTTTGCATACTAAAGTTTCAAAGCTGCGTTTAGCCAAAGTTCAGCTGTAAACTTCTGAAAGAACAACTATAACATTCTGTTCAAAGTTACAAACATTTCAGAGTTATAAACAACCTCAATTCCCAAGGTGTTCATAACTCTGAGGTTCTACTGTACAATCCTTTCTAATAATAACCCCTTAATCTTTATGTTTAAGTGTCCGCTATTTTCAGGGAAGTAATGTTCTGTGAAGCCTAGAGCTAGGTGAAATTTTTTGCATGAAATTTTGTTTGATGAATAGTTTAATCTGTGAAAAATGCAGTTTTGGTTGTCCCAGAATTAGCCATAAATTTGACATGAAAAATTTTGGCCATTCAGAAAACAGCTGGAGGAGATGGTGGTACCAGTGCTCCTGCTGCTCGCTTCTTGTCAGTTTTAACCCACTGGTTAGGGAACTCACATGAGATCTGGGAGATCCAGTTTGAATCCCTGTCCTGGGATTCACAGACACAAAATTAACTTCTTAAATTTAAAAAAAAAATAGATTTGGTTCAAACTGAACCAATTGTTTAATTTTTGTTCAGAACTGCCAACAAACAGAAAAATCAGTTATGCACTCATCACTATATGTAACACTCACTCGGTCAAATTACTTTTGAACTTGGCCCATCTCTTTTAGAACAGTATGGCAAAAAATTCATTTCCTGCGCTAGTGTTGAACTATCCTGGTATTTTACTAATGAATAGAATCAATCAATTAATAAAATAAAATAAAATAAAATAAAACTCCACAGAAAATGTTGACTTTTTATTGAAAAATCAAAAACCAATTTTTTTCAGCTGAAATTGAAAATAAATCGCTTCAGTGCCTCATGTGCTTATAGTTCTGTTTTGTTCTCCTCTATAGGTTGAGGTTCTTGGTTAAACTACATTTCCCATGACGCACCATGGTCTCTCCTCTTGGAGACAGAAAGAAGGGTATCATGGAAATCTCCTGGACACGTGAATTATGGGAGATGAAGTCTGGCTAAGGAGCTTGAAACATAAAGGAGAATGAGGACATGAGGCAACCAAACTACATATCCCTTGAACCCAGTGGCAGCATATGTGAATCAAAATATTTCAGCTTTCCAGTAGTCCAGTGTTTAGTTTTTGACAAAAAATCAAAATTTTCTACAGAAAGCAAACACTTTTCACAACAAATTTTGTTTAGTCAAAATGCCAGTTGTTTTGTTGAAAGCTAGATCTGCAAGGAAATTTTCAACCAGCCCTACTAGTGAGGATAGGGTTTTTTTTATGCTTTAATATTGTATTATGGCAAAGTTACAATGAACTATTAACAACACATCATATATTACAGATTCAAGATCGGGTTAATTTTCAAAGGACCAAGCTATAGATTCTGGCTTGCTGGTAGGGGAACCCTCCTTCTCTGAGTAAGCTAGAAAGGGTGGCCAGATTTTGAGGATTTTTTTTTTATACTGCCTGGAAGTTAAAAACCAGACAAATTCAAATTAGAAATGAGGCATAACCATGAGGATGATTAACCATTGGAACAAACTACCAAGGGAAGGGATGGATTCTCCATTTCTTCTTGTCTTCCATTCAAACGGGGTTGATATGCTTTAGTCACTCATAAGTTGTTGAGCTCAATGTATGTGTAACTGAGTGAAATTCTTTGGTCAGTGTTATACTGGAAGTCAGATGTGATGATCCAATGGTCCCTTCTGTTCTTAAAATCTATAATCTGTATTGACCCTATAGACAATTCATGTTACACTAGAAATGTGGCTTTTTACCTCTTAAATGAGCATTTTAAGGTGAGTTTCAGGAGTTCACTCCTCCCATGCGTGTCTTCCTGTTCTTTTATGCTGGTATGCAGCCCCTTCTCTGTTTCCCCTTCTCTCCTCACAATGGACACCAGCTGAATGATGGAATAAGGCCCACTCTTTCAGAGGGCAGTAACCCTTATCATGCATTGGCCACCTCTTCAGCAGGAAGCAAATTCTGAAGTCAATGCCTGGAAGTTTACACTTCCGGTTGTGACTGCTCTGAGTTGCCCACTACTACAGACAGAAGGAGGATAAGTCTTTTGTTCAGAGAGGGGAGGAGGAGGATTTCCATAGAGGGAGGCCCAGGGGACGTTCACAACTAGCTCTGCCTGGAAGTCTTGACCCAAGGGCTCTCTCCAATGGTTCCAGGCTGCCGTTTCCATCCCATTAGTGAGGAAATTGGCTAGCTAGTCCCAAGATGGGAAACATGTCAGAACTCAGAAATATTCTGTTGGTTAATGCATAGTTCGTGAATTGACAGTGTAATGGGGTGACAAACTCATTCTCGTGTATGTGTTTGTATAATCTTTTTTCATTTACAAAATGTCTACAATGACAGCACAACACAGTCACAAAGTCAGTTTTAGATACTGCATCTAATATGTTGTGATCCTACAATCATTGCTTCTGTATACACAGGGCCGGTGCAAGGAAGTTTCGCGCCCTAGGCGAAACTTCCACCTTGCGTTCCCCCCCCCCCAAGTCCTGCGGCAGCTCCCTGCCACCCCCGCCCTGAGGCGCCCCCCGCGGCAGCTCACCCACCCCCCTAAGGCGCCCCCCCTGCAGTGGCTCCCCCCC